ATGTAATATAATTATACAAATATAATAAATGTAATAAATTTCACATATCTCATTGCTGACTTCCGATCTCGTCTCTCTATCGCTGCCGAACTTTATTCAACTTCTGCCTCTTTTTATTTTTATCCTCCTGTAGATTTTTTGCAGCTTGTCTAATATTTTCAGGYTTCAGTCAGAAAGGAGTTTGGGGGGTTTAGGTTTGTTCGGCAGGGTGGGGGTGACACCAGAGAGTGGAATGAGGTGTTCTTCCCCAATGAATCAGCCCTATTTTGCATCTTCCCGCTGCAACGTGCATCAAATATGACGAACATTAATAAAAAGAGCCATAATTTTATTTAATTTTATACATAATTTACATAATCAGTGTCCTGTTCTCGCTTATTAGTCAAGCTATACAGGTGAATAAACAGTCTCCCATTCTTTCGCCAAGAATCAGACCATATGAGCTTAGCAATCTTTAATGAGATAACTGTAAAACTGCGAAAAAACACAATACAAATGGCAAAATCAATAAATGGGCCAAAATACAATATTACAATGTAAATGTACATGTATAGCTAATCAAATATATCCTTCTGTGACCCCTTTGAGCACAAATATATTATACACAAGAAACTTCAGTACTTACAGACATTACTGGATTCAGTGTAGCTGAGAAGAGGAAAAGCAACTGCATGGCTGGCTGAGCACATGGTGAATAAACAGCAAGTGAAACCTAACTCAATTTATATGCGTTTATCAAATCTGACCACCAGAGGGCAATGCAAATAACAAGACTTCCATGACACAGTGTTTAATTATTTATTATTAATTCAGTAAGAATGAGTGGAGCACTCGTAAACTACACAAGATATGGGCATTTTTTCAGATAGCAGATCCACCACTTTTTCACTTCCGACCTCTATCCGAACCTACACGCTCTAGCGTCACTGCATCGTGACGTCACGTAAAACCCTTCTATTGCTGGGTTCTGTTGTGTCGTAGGGCAAGACACTTCACCCACTTTGCCTACTGATGGTGGCCAAAGGGTCTGGTGGTGCCGGTGCATGGCAGCCTTGCTTCTGTCAGTGTGCCCCAGGGCAGCTGTGGCTACAGTGTAGCTTACCACCATCAGTGTGTGAATGGGTGAATGTCTGTAAGTGTAAATCACTTTTGGGTTCGTAGGGACTTGATAAAGCGCTCTTTACATTCAGTCCATTTACCATTTGTTTGAAATGTGGGTGGGAGCTCAGCTCACAACCGTTAATGAAGATGATGTAGTTCCAAATCTATCCTAAATGTGATCTACAACTGTGATTGGTTCCCCATGAGGAACATAGTGTGACCAAATTTTTTCAAGAAAATGGCAACAGCTGATTACAAAGCTATGCTGAACCAAAAGTAACAAGTAACTAAAAGCTTCCTAGAAATGTAGTGGAGTAAAAAGTAAATGGTAAATGGACTGTACTTGTACTTATGTACGCCTTTCAATCCATCCAGGACACTCAAGGCGCTTCACACTACAGACATTCACCCATGCACACACACATTCACACACTGATGCTGGCAAACTACAATTGTAGCCACAGCTGCCCTGGGGCAAACTGACAGGGGCGAGGCTGCCATACACAGGCACCACCGGACCCTCTGACCACCATCAGTAGGCAAGGCGGGTAAGGTGTCTTGCCCAAGGACGCAACGACTGAGTCGACTGGACGGGGATCGAACTGGCAATCTTCCGGTTCCAGGACGACTCACCTAAACACTCGGCCAGAGCCGCCCCAATATTTGCCTTTGAAATGTAGTGGAGTGAAAGTAACAAGTACCCCAAAAAATAATTACTCAAGTAAAGTGAAGCTACTCAAAAAATGTACTTAATTACAGTACACGAGTAAATGTACTACACTACTGTCCACCACTGAATACGAGTACTCGCTTCTCAGGACTGGAAGGTTCAGAATTGACCCAGAAAAAAATCACTAAACACAATAGTTTTTAAAAACTGTCTGAGCACTGCTTCTCACCACAAAGTTAATAAATAAATAAATAAATAAATAAATAAATAAATAAATAAATAAATAAATAAATAAATCTGATTTCACTGAGTATCCAAAACCCTTCATTATTTTGTAAGTTTATTTGTATGAAAGTTATATTTTATGAGTTGTTTCAGTGTAACTATAACATTAAAATGTATGAAGGAAAGTTTGATTGTAGGTGAAATAAAGACTTGGACTTGGAATGAAAAGATTTTTTATTACAAGATTACATGGTTCCAACAGAACAAGAGAGTGCCGGGTAAGAAAAAAACTTTAAATACATAGTTATATACTACTCTGTTTTGTGTTTTAACATTTTGTTGAGTTTTTGTGTTCATGCACTAAACACAATGAACAATGACTATGAAATATGTCAGGTCTTGTCAAGAGCTTCAGCAGATTTTTCCTCAACATGGTTTTGCTGCCATCTAGTGGTGAGTCTGAACACCTGCTGGCACCAGAGAGAAGAAGCACCATGTAACTTTAGGAATACATGACAAATTTAGTTTGGCTCCACATAACACATACAAAATAAACAGTATGACATGATAAAATATTTAGTCAACTGGTGCAACTTTGAAGCATATTTATTCACTCCCATTATTCCTTTTTAAGGCCTCTGTGTTTGTGGTGGGTAATATTCACCATTCCATTTAAAGTGAACTGTTTTCAGTGTATTTTTTAACACTGTTTCAACAGATGCTCTGGCATTTTCCCTGTCCTCTGGATTGTATGTGTGTTGTTCTGGTTTAATTTCAAGTGAAACATCGAGAAGCAAGTTGCTCAGACATTCAGCTTCAGCACAGTTACCATAGTTGTTCTCCCATTCTTTCAAGTTGTTCTCCCATTCTTTCAAGCCAAAGAGATTCCTACATGATATGCACGGGTTCATTTCAGTTCTTTTAGTGATGTGGTATGCCTTGCACGATATGCTTTCAGGTAGTTTGAAGGTTCCATCAAAGTAATCCTTCTTCTTCTTCTTCTCATTCTTCTTCTGGTTCTGCTCAGGATAGTAAGTCATCACTGCATCAGCGACATATTTATTCCAATAACCACTCAAACAGGAGGCAGCAATAACAATCCTGCCAGCATTGAGACTGGTGGTGGACATAGAGACACCGTAATGCTTTTCTGAATTTTTGTATTTAGAAACGCAGATGACAGTGGAGACCAGTTCTAGTTTTTTCTCCCTCCTCAAATCCAGATCCTTTTTTTTCCATATTTCTTTTTCCAATCTCAGATTTTTTTTTTCTAAATCCAGACACTCTTTTTCAAAATTTAGATTTTCGTTTTTCACATCCAGCTTATTTTTTGTCACCTCCATATCTTGCTTTTTCTCATCCAGATCTTTATTTTTCTCATCTAGATCTTTTTTTTTCTCATCCAGATCTTGTTTTTTCTTATCCAGATCTTTTTTAAACTCCAGGCATTGTTTGTTCTCCTCCGGTTCTCCTTTTTTAAAATCCAGAAACTTTTTTTCCAAATTCAGATTCATATCTTTCAATTCATTGACAAGATCTTCCAAACTTTTTCTTATTTGGATTTCATCCTCTGGTCCATTCTGCAACACAAACTGAAAGCAGATACAATTACTCTGAGAGAGCACTAAAGCTAGGGCATTTTCATGAATAATATACTGGGAACACATTTGATACAAGACAAGACAAGAAGACAAGACAAGACAAGACAAGACAATATGGCAGGGGTCCCCAAAGTATTTCCTGTGAGGGCCACATCTCTGATGCGGGGCCGGGGTCAGTTTGTAACAGAAAAAGTGTGACGGTCGAAGGGGGGGCCTTAAAGTAAACATTTATTGTTTTCCAGAAACCAGGAAATAAATAATACTATTACTGAAATAAACAACAGTTTTTATGAAATAAATAATAACAAATAACCCTAGAGGAAGAGGAAGATGCCCTTCATCACTGTGACTTGGGACTGGCAGCGTACATTATTTTCTGTATTTGACCATTTTTTTTTTACATGATGGAAAAATCTGAAGGCCGTCCATCATTTTGACAGATTGCAATTAACACCCTGACCTCTTAAGTCTGGAAGACTTAATAAATAAGCCAGGTGAGGCGGAGAAAAAAATCAACGAAGCGTCACATAACGGCTCTGTGACATCACACTCACTCAGACATTTTCAGCTTTAAGCACGGAGCAGGTCTACATCAAAGATGTGTCTTATATAATCTAAAAATAAATAAAAGATTCCATCTGATCATCATCTCAGATCTAGACACCATACTGAATGCATCTCCAGGAGCTGACAGTGCATTGAAGAGTTAAGGACAGGAGGCTTTCGAGCCTCTGTGAGGCGCAGCTGAACAAGTGGTGCAGCACGAGCACATGCTGCGGGATTTCCTCCTGCTGCAGCAACAGCAACAGCTTGTGGGATTTGGAAATAAAATCTTGCTGACTTCTGATCACTTCGACTGGAGAAATGTTTTCTGATTTTAAAACTTTGTCTGAAGAGGCGCTTGTTATTCCAACAGAGTCGCAGCAGAGCGCGGGTTTAGTCTTCAGAACTTCTGGCGCCTGCAGATGTAGACTCAATGGGCCTCATGCAAGAACATGTTCGTATTCTTATCCTAAATTTCTCTTACTTTTGTTCGTACAAAGGGTTCGTATGAACATGTCACGTCAGATTCAACAAACTCTTCTATCTTCAGGAAAAGTGTGTAAATGAGCTGCGTAAATTCCACCTGCTCATATCCAGCTCCTCGTGCACGCGAGAGGAGATTAGCATAATTACCACCCCAAAAACACCATATAAGGCTTTTTTTCCTGCCTCAGATACAAGGAAGTGTTCATTCATGAAAATGACAGCGAAAACTAAAAAGAACTTTACGAGTTCAGAGATTGAAGTCCGTCTGTCAGAGATCCAGAAAAGAAAATCTGTCATTTTTAGCAGGTCAGCTGTGGAATAAAAAAGAGCTGCTAAATGTATAAACAACTGTGTTAAATCATTTTCATTTATTCAGAAGCCGCAGCGCTGCGCACCTGATAGCGGATAAGTCGGACGGCCGGACAATTTATATTGTTAGTCTAAATTTTTACATTAAAAATTATAACTCTAATTCAAGCAGAATAACTTATTGTCAACATAATTATGGAGTGTGATTTATTTTCAACTCAAAATATCTTCAAACTAACTAAATATAAAGTTATTAGGGAGGAAAACCCGTCTGGATAACAGCAGACTGACTGCTCATAAAATCTACGACAGGTCTGGACCACTCGTAAATTTTGTTCGTATCTGAAAAAAATCGTAGAATACGAAAACATTGGTGAATGCCACAAATTCTCCTAAATCACTCGTACGCACAACTTAAGAACAAATCTGTGCGTACGAACGGTTCTTGCATGAGGCCCACTGTGCGTAACTTAAGTTCTTCCTTAGAGTTTTTTAATCATTAGACTTTTTTATTGCATAAATAAAATCCATATTCTTCTTCTGTTTTTATTTAATAATATTTTTAACACAGTGGCAGTGGCGCATGTAATTAACAGCTGACTGCATGTCTGCCTTCATGCCTTTCTCTCTTCTCTCGTCCTTCTGCAAAAGAGGTAGAGACAGAAATAAGGAAGCATTATCTAATGTTGCAAACTGCAGCCACTAAATAACATTTCTAGATTTTTTTGTTTGTTTTTTGTTTTTCTCTTCTTAAGGCAACTGAGTCAAAAGCGGGACAGCGTGTGTGCATCACATTGTGTGTGTTGGGCCTGGAGTGGGACAGATGCGCTGTTTTTCAGCACCATGCGTGTGAGGTGCACTGATGAGGTTTTCTCCGATAAAATCCTGCAGGCGCCGTATCTGACGTATAACTGCAAAACCAACATGACAATAGCCACATTCTATGAATGTTCAGTCATTATCATTTAAAAAAGAAAGTGGCAGCCATTTTTTAGTTCCATTTGACAGGGGCTAGTCAAGGATTCACGGGGCAGACTAAAAAAATCATAATGCTATTTTGGTATTGTTCAGGGGCCAGGCCAAATGTGGAGGTGGGCCCTAGTTTTGGGACCACTATAATATGGCATGATTTCTTTACTTTTAAATTTTGAGGAGGGTTGCAGCGCACACAATTCTAATTTATTTCAACATCCAAAGTGGAAAACTATTAGAAAAAATATAAAAACAAAAACAAACAAGCAGAAGCCACCAAGCATTGAGACAAAAGTTTAAAAGAACATTGACAATGACTTGTCAGGGACTCTGAACCAACATCACAGTTTTCTCAGCTGCTAATACACTAAGCCAGGGTTATTCAACTGCATTGCTCAGTGGGCCACAGTTGAGCCAACAACTTGGAGGTGGACATCAAGGGTGGGGTGGTGGAATGGGGTCATGGAGTTACCTGATAATGGTAGAGGAAACACTGCATTATGTAAAAGAACAAAAATTATTGTGTTTTACCTTGTTCATTTATTTTATGTTGTATTTTAGTTTTTTGTGTTGCAGTAATTTAAAAAGTACAATTGATTAAAATGTATTTCTATATTCAATTAAGTTAAAAAACAAAACAAAATACAAAGTCACCTGACCGCCAGTTGAATAGCCCTGCAATAAACACTGTTGTCTGAATCAAATATTGTGTCCGGAACCCATTTATTGAAATGGTCTTTTGGCAGAACCTTAAGATTATGTCACTACAACTTGCAGATCTATTTTCACCCACTGTGATTCACATGGCTTCCACAATGGTAAACACAGGTTGCAAAAGTGAAACACTAACACAAATAAAATACTGCTGTCTCAACTTAAACACAGCAACTCAAAATTCATCACACGTATAACTAATGATGTGAACAAACCATAAGCCAATACAAAAAGCCCTGATTGTTAAAGTTTCACTATGGATAGAAACAATCACAGAGGCAGTGGCACTGTATCCACTTTTATTGTTGTAATGTATTTGCTGTAATGTTCCCAGGCCTTTGGTGGAGGACCTGTGTTTGAAGAGAAGTGGAACTGCCCAAGTGGAATATTGGATGTTTTCAAACTGTGGTGTACTCCTACCCTAGGAGGTGCCAGTGGTCTTGAAGGGGGACCTGACATGAATCAGGAAGTGGGGAAATAATGTAGAGCATATGTTCATACTGCAGGTTTTAGATTTGTTTGCTCATATACTTTCATCATTAAAAGGTAACCTCAGACTTCAATATGAACTATAGAATTTCAGAGGTGGAAAAAAAGGTTCACAGGCAACTGCTTGTGTGCAAAGTCAACTGAGTCTGTTGACTTCCTTTGTTTGAGGAAGTAGCCACACATGATACATTTGTTAGCTAATGTGATTCTGAAGTTCTTGTGCATTCACAAACGATTAAATTATCTGATGTGCTTGTTAGGTCCAGCGTTCAAATTTAATGGTAAATGGTAAATGGACTGTACTTATATAGCGCTTTTCTATCCATCCAGGACACTCAAAGCACTTCACACTACAATCTGTGTCCTCATTTACCCATTCACAAAGCACTCTACCAGATCTCCTACAAAGCTAACATGTATTTCATCTATGGAGACTAATCAGCGCCAATCTCATTCATACACGGATGGGACTTACATCAGAGGCATTAGGAGTGAAGTGTCTTGCCCAGGGACACAACAACTGAGACAGCTGGACGGGGGATTGAACTGGCGACCTTCCAGTTCCAGGACAACTCCCCTTACTACACTGCCACAGCTCCAACCCCTAATCTTAATACCCTAATCGGACCCTCTAACCACCATCAGTAGGCAAGGTGGGTAAGGTGTCTTGCCCAAGGACACAACGACTGAGTCGACTGGATGGGGACCGAACAGGGGACTTTCCGGTTCCAGGGCGACTCCCCTAGCCACTCTACCACAGCCGGTTTCACTCATGATTTGAAGGTAATATAAACCATATGGAGGACCTGTGGTAAGTTGTCTTCTGCACAAAGCAGTAATGGAATCTAAAGTTGCAGGACTCAGGTCGACACATTTGTATGCCGTAATAGTGAGAAACAAATGTACAAATTGGTTGAGGCTTGTTCTGCAGGGAATGTAATGGTCATTTAATATCAGAACTCAACCGAGGAAAAGAGAAAACTTTAAGTAATGTAAAAGCGAAGCCATGGTAACGAGGCAGAGAAGGGCAGGATGCATGAGGAAGTGAGCCACTATGTCAACTCCACCAACATGCACGTACACCATTTTGAAATATAACTCTGACTCATGATCAAAATGAGATCATCTGAAAAGCCAAATAAAAAGAGAATTTTAGAACTGCCCTGTTCTCTTTACACCATGAAGCTCCAGCGAGGCACAGCGAGGTGAGTAGAGTCGGGGGACCCAACAAACATCAGAGATCGAGTTTGCTCGCGTCGAACAAAGCTCATACCGTTCCGCAGATGCCAAAGTTTGGACTGATTGAGCCTGAACAGGAAATTCTCAGTGCTCTGGAACAAAGAACCTGAAAGATTCCGGCACAAAGTTTCGTTGGACCAGCCAAAGGTCCTGATGAACAAGTGAAACTCCAGGTCTTGTCATCCCCCAATCTCGCAGAATTAAGGAGTGGTGTACTGAGCAGAAAGTGAGAGTCAGAA